GGGGGGGGGGCGGGGGGGTCGCAAATGGCGGAAGCGCGCCGCGAAGCTCCTGCTGCCTGGCAGTTGCCCGCGCGCCTGCCTCGGGCGGGTGCGAGGTACGGCGGCAAGAGCGGGAGAACATAGAGAAACGGAAGGTGCAGCAAGATGCGCCAAGCCTGAGGGACCGGCCGCAGCTTGGTGGCAATCCTGCCAGGACACTGCGCGGCCAAGCGCGCGCGGCTCCCCACCGGGCCCGGGCGCGCATTGCACAAGCCACCGGGGCGCTGCGTTGGCAGTGGGGTGGAAGGAGCAGCCTACAAGAAAGCCCAAGGCCAGGCCCCCTATTTTCCGGGCCCCTTCTGATACCGCGGCCCCAGTTTTTCCCGGGGCCATGTTGGCCCCAGTATTTCCGGGGACCCCGCCAGAACTATAAGGAACCCCGCGGGAAAATAAGGACCCGGGATTTTTGCGGCCCCGGTCCGATTAAAGGGGGAAAAGCACCGGGGCCCTTATAATACAGGGGGCCCAGTTTTTCCGGTCCATGCATATCAGAAAAATACGACCGAGAAGTACACACAGAGGAGATACTTACGTCCTTCATCCTCCCAATGGTGGCGTGGGTGTCGCAAATAGCGCTACTAGCCCTTCGCATTCCAATTATCATTGACGAGACGTGTGATAAGTGTACCGGTGGACGCTTGTACTACTAATCCAATTGCACACTTATCGCAACGTCTGCAACGTTATTGTTCTAGGCGAATACTAAATTAATTGGAGCGATGCAACAACTCGAATTTGCAGTTTGCATCGCTTCCTTATCTTCGTCGTGAGCAAGACTTACTACCCACTCAGATCAAATTACTCGCTCGTTCTTACGATCTGAGCAGGGAAATAGCACCTACTACATACTTACGCAGAAGTCAGAGCTTCTGGTGCTCGTTTACTGCAGACGCAGAAGGAAAAGGAGTACTATCTTCTACGTACCGTTTTACTGCATGATAGGCAGAGGGAATAGCTTCGTTCTGCTGTTTTCCTACATACGCAGAAGAAAACGGAAGAGCTTCTGTGGTTTTATATATTACATACGAAGAACGAAGAAAAAGGAAAAACGTCTGCGGTTTTACTACACACGCAGAAGAATAAGGAAGAGCTTCTGCGGCTTTACTACATACACAGAAGAACAAGGAATAGCTTCTGCGGACTAAAACTAAATCTATTATTTATTAAGCTAAAACCTTTCATCTTTTTAAGGTGTGAAAACTGTTGCGCGCGCGCGCGTTAAGCGCGCGGGCTACACGCGCGCGCGCGTTATAACGTTCGTCGCGTCACGCGCGCGCGCGTTACGCGCGAAATTAGGCGCGCGCGCGTCACATGCGCGCACGCGCGTAACGCGCGCGGGTGGGGGTGCGCTCGCGGCCGGGCTCGCCGGGGCCATGCGCACGCGCGCGCGACGTCGCGCGCCGCGCGCGCGGGGGGAGTGCGCTCGCGGCCGGGCTCGCCGGGGCCGTGCGCGCGCGCGTTACACGCTCGGGGAAGGGTACGCTCACACCAGCCAGGCTCGCGGGGCCGGCTTGGGCTCGCCGGGGCCGGCTCGAGCTCGCGGGGGCCGGCTCAAGCTCGCCGGGGCCGTACGCGCGCGGGGGGGGGGCTCGGGCTCGCTGGGGCAGGGCCCGCTCAGGCTCGCCGGGGCGGGGCCAGCTCGGGTTCGCCGGAGCGGGGCCGGCTCGGGTTCGCCGGAGCGGGGCCGGCTCGGGTTCGCCGGAGCGGGGCCGGCTCGGGTTCGCCAGAGCGGGGCCGGCTCGGGTTCGCCAGAGCGGGGCCGGCTCGGGCGCGCGCGCGTTACGCACGCGGGGAAGGAGGCGCGCTCGCGGCCAGGCTCGCGGGGCGGGCCGGCTGGGCTCGCGGCGCCGGCTCCCTCAGGCTCGTCAAGGCCGTCGGAGACCACCGCGCCCGACAACCACCAGCGGCGGAAAATCTTGGCGGAAAGTTGCCGAGGGTCCCGCGCGCGGCCCTTGTCTTTGTCTCATTAAAACAAAGCCAAAAAGAGCCCCGAAAACGAAACCGACACAACCCACACACGAACAAGCCAACCACTGCACCGAGAGCATTACAAGCCGGCGAACCAGTCCGCGGCGCAGCCACGCGCCAAATTCTCAAACGAATGCACAACACCAGAGGCCTCCTAAGCCTGGAGAGAAGAACAGAGAAACCACAAAAACCACAGACAACAACCGCGGAGCCCTATGGATGCGGCCTCGTTGCAAGTTGTTGCGAGTTTGTTCTTGGCGATCCCTATCCGATCCGTGTCTTCATCAAAAAAACGCAGAAGACGAAAGCTTCAAAACCTCCGCGGAATGTGTGCGGAAAGTTTAAAAGTTTTGACAATGTTGGAACGAACTTCGTGCGCTTATCTTTTGAGAAAGATCCCACAGAGATTATTTTGAAAGATTTCGCAAATTTTTCGCCAAAGTTCTTTTTCCACCTAGAAAAAAAAAAGAAGAACAACCCCAGGCGCCCAAGCGCAGAAAGATGGCCAACGCCGCCCCGCTTTGCCACTGCTTCCCCGCCTGCGTTTCCCCTGTCCTCCGCCCGGGTTCTCTACACCTCGAGGGGCTTGCACAGGCGTGCCGCGGCTGTATTCCAAGCAGCGCCGACGCCAATGACGTGCGGGCGGTCCACACCCACCTGGCGCCGGGGCTGTTGACAACAGAAAAACACAACACAAAGACAAAGCACCCGAGGCCGCGCCGCCGCCTCTTCCATCCTCGAAAAGACAGAAGCAACGAAGACCCGCCCGGGCAACTTTTCGCGAAGATCTCGCGGCCATCTTTCGCGTCGACGCGGTGGTCTCCAGGGACCAGCCCGAGCTCACGGGGGCGGGGCCGGCTCAAGCTCGCCGGGGCGGGCCGGCTCGGGCTCGCCGGAGCGGGGCCGGCTCGGGCTCGCCAGAGCGGGGCCGGCTCGGGCTCGCCACGGCGGGGCCGGCTCGGGCTCGCCGGAGCCGGCTCGGGCTCGCNATGCGCGCGCGCGTTACGCGCGCGAGTTACTGTTAGAATTAATGCAATTCATTGCGTAACTGAGTAATAACTAATAGAAAATGGTAAGAGATGTTCCCATAATGTTGCTCACGCAGTGTACTTAGCAGTCAGTTACTTTGCAGAAGATGCGACGACGCGAATCTAGTCTGGAGCAGTAGAAGATATACAAAAATCTTAGTCCAGTACATATATATAAAAGTCTTTTAGTCTTCTTCTGCTATATACTTTTCATCTTCTTTTGCTGATTTTAGCTCTAAAAGCTTCAGCTTCATCTTTCTCTACGATAGTGCGATGTTCACTATGCAAGGACTGTTTAATCGGCATTGTAAATCTGATATCTCGACAATCGGCATTGTAAATCTGATATCTCGACAGTGTATTAGATCTGATTCATCTACAAGGTCATACGGAGAAGTTGCAATATCCGCACAACCATGTTGTCCAGTGTGAGTTTCCGTTCCGCCGCTGGGGAAAGGATTTTCGGAACTACCAAACCCAGCTCGTTGTGTGATCTTTCTTTCATCGCCCTCACAACCACTCTGAGCTTCCTCTGCATGTTGCTGTAGTATTCGATCAGCTGGAGAACTTTCACATTTTTCTGCTGCAGGAGTAGTACTAGAGGGGTAGTCGTCTCATGGGCTTGTTGTTCATCGAGTAAAAACGGACATATTTCTTCTTCATCGGACTCGCTATGAGGAACAGGACCATGTTGACCAACACCGCCATGTCGTGGGTGTGACTCTGCCCGTTCATCTTGCTCCAAGTACGTCTGTCGCATCAGCTGTAAATGTACTTCGCGGTTATGCGTCGGCGTATACTCCCCAAGCTTTGCCGCGAAGTCTCTTGCGAGCGTCCGACAATTGCCCCAGCTTAGCGGTAGTTTTTCACTATACCGAGTCGAGCGGGGTGCCCTGCGCCCTCCATATTTTCCCTTTCAATCAAGTGGAGCGCCACTCAGCATAGTCCACGACATGGGCGAGTGAGAAACTACCCTTAACCTGAGCCACGGTAGCCACAGGCTGGAAAGTCGTACCCTCCTAGACCTAGCATATGAGGAACGAAGAACCCCATTTTTGAGGAGGGGATTTACCACCACATGCGGACGTCGACAAATGTAGTTGATGGAGGTCTGGGACAAGCTGCACCGACAACTCCCCATCCCCGCATCATATGCGCGAAGCATAGACTAGAGAAAATCGTACTCAGAAGTGCTCCGCATCTTGGTGCTAACTCGAGTTCTGGCGCTTCGTAAGCGTTTGCTGCTGCCTCTTCCGGGGACGCTAAGCAGGAGCCCAAGCAGCAAGCTTTGCAACTGTTTGCAAACGACACGGCCACTTGGATCAAGTGCGGAGATGCAACGTTGATGACTTGTTTGCTAGTGAAAAAGGAGTCAGGGACGCTAGTGAAGGATCGGTAATGTGGGAACCTTTAACATCACTATCAGTCGTAGTATCCTGTTCGACTTCTACTTGTTCCAGGATCTTCATTTTCCGCGCCTCCTCTATAGCACGTGACCGTGCGGCTTTTCTGGTCGCTGAGTCAGCGAATTTTTTCGGGTGTTAGAACGAAGAGGAGCCGTAGGAGCGAGAGATGACGCATCATGCTATTACTATCGAATTCGAGGAACAATAATTGTGACCCGTCGAAAGCGAAACTCAAAAGTTGTAGTACATACTCAAAATGCAAATGCATCATCATCTGGAGAAATGATCATCTTTATGAGCATGACGTGGCTTAACTATAATCCAGCGGCCTTGGCGTCATTCGTGCCAGCTCTTCCCGAGATAGCATCTCTTCTAGTGGCTCAGAAGCACTTGACTCGAGAGTCAACCTGACAGATTGATTCAGCCCATCATCGTCGTCTGCAGCAGGTTGCACTTCTAAATCGAGCTCCTCAGTCACCATGTTCTTCTCCACCAACGCCGTGACGGCAGCACTCTCGAGCTCCTCAGTCATGGCGTCGGGATCGGGGGTAGCCGCGGACATTTTGATGGAGAAGACCAAACTCGAGTGACTGGAGAAGACGGTCTGAGTGACTAAGGAAGACGGTCTGAGCGACTAAAGAAGACGGTCTGAGTGACTGGAGAAGACGGTCTGAGTGACTAACGAAGACGGTCTGAGTGACTAAAGAAGACGGTCTGAGTGACTAAAGAAGACGGTCCGAGTAGAGGCGGTTTTGTTTTGTTCCAGTGCCTGGCTCAATCTTGATGTTGCCTTGAAAAATGATGAAACATCTAGTCCGTAGCCGTACTTACTAGTTGTGAGAGAAAGTAGTCATCTTGATCTCCTAATGCTACTTTTCCAACCGACTATAGTGCTAAGTGTCGTGTTTTCCATCTTTCGTGGACGTAAACCTGCGAAAAAAATTGCCGTACAATTCCCAGATGACCGTACTCTTCTTTTTTACCTCTCTGTAATTGTGTCCGAGTCCGTGTCCTCCCTGTCCCTCTCTACAGAAATGCTCGATGGACAAACTCAGTAGATCAACAACAACTCA